GTAACAATAGTTTAAAAACTTAACTTTAATATTTCCCGAGTTTTGTAGCATTTTTCAATACGACCTGAATATCTGTTGTTGCAGATTTTTTTTTAATGCGGAATTCATAATAGTACTCATTATTTGCTTCTCCATGTCTTGCTAGGCCACTATTTATATTATCTGTGGTACGTAATCTGCAGAGACCCAGCAAGTTAGGCACCTTTATTTTGCTGATGGATAGCAGAGGGGATTCATAAAATACTTTAATGTATATTACCTAGGAAGAAATGGGCTGTGTTAGATATACTTGGTATGTGAAGTGTATTTTCGTTATTACACTCAAATAGTATAAAATACAATTAGTGGTCTTTGGATTTTATTGATAATGGCTAATAAGAAAAAAGATCATTATTATATTGGATAAGACCATAAGCATTACTGTTTTGAGAATGGATTTAAAACATGCGTTCAAATTATATTTGTAGGATTTTGATTACATTATCAGAATTATGATTAGTGTTGAAATACATTTAAACTGAAGAATGATTATAGTGTTAACTAAGGGTTTGCACTGATTATTGTCACTGATTTTTAAAGTAAATATAATAGTAGATCATGACCAAAATACAAACCCTACAATTGAGGCCAAATACTATTGATGTTTTTCATAAGCTCCTCTGCAGAGGAATGGACTTTACTGAAGTAAGTAAAACAAGCAGGATTAGCCTCTTCATTGAAATGACAATATATTTATTTTACTATGGAACACTTGAATTTTGCTGATACTTGATTCTATAAGCAGCTGATCAAAAGGTTTCCCTATCATCTGCCCAGCCACCTAGTCTGTGTCTAACTACAGTCACGATGGATAGCAATAATTCTCAGGAGTTTATGACCTGTTAATGTGACCTAGTTAACAGGTGGCCAGGAATCATAAAGTTCCGTTTTGAGCGTTATGACAGATGGAGACAAGTCAAATAAAAGAATCTGCTCCGTTAAGAAAATGAATCATTATTATTTACCACCATGATTAAAAATGGGCATGACTCATCTCATCAAACATGATTTTGGAACGATTGTTAAAGACTGTGTGGTTCCAAATCTAGAAACTAAGGATTGCCTCAAAGACGTTCCTTGGCCTTTCAACAATAAATAAAAGCAGGTGAATCAATTGTTTTTCTTTAGTTATGTATAACTGTTTAATGCACTTTAGCTGACAAGTCATTACCCATGAAAATTTTGAAGTATATTAATGACACTGATTTTTGAGTGCTTGTTAACACTAAAAAGTTATCCTGGATTGAAGCAGACTATTAATTATAACACCTATTTTTAAACAACGCTACCCGTGACCCCGCCTATTCTGGAAATGAATGTCACAGTACAAGGACATGAAACCACTTTCAGCTATTTCTGAGTAACTCTATCAGTAAACAAGCCCTTTTAGCCTATCTTCTACTTTGACAGATTGTCCAAGATACAAATTTGGTCAATAAAACCGAAGTGTTCTTTTTAAAAGTTAAAAAAGTCACAGACAACAAACACAATGTAACTTCTAAACAATGCCCTAGTTTCATGTCTCTGTCTCTCTCCTCCTCCCACCCAAAATAAACAGATCCAGCTTGCAAGATGCTGATCAGTGATGAGAGACACTGCACATCCATCACACTCATTGCCTCAGGGGGAGGTAAGAGCACATAGGTTTTTGCAAGACCGTGTTCAAACTATGGATATAAACTCAAAAACCTAGAAGAAGGCAACAAAGTATATGCTACCCTGCCAAAAGTATGCTGAAGAAACACTGAAACAGTGGTTCCCAAAAACACCCAGGTGAAGATTGTTCCCTGGAAGGGAAACAGACAAACAGTGTTTTGACAGGAATATCTTATGATCGTGTTACACAGCAGCTTATGAGAAAGTTTGAAAGTTGTTGGAAGGAATATTGTGTTATTACTCCCACAGGAACCAGAGCCGTTATTGTGCCGTTGGCGTGCTTTACTGCCATATGTGTTTTACACTTACTAACTCTCATGGTGCCCCTCAACATTAAGTTTACACCAACTCTGAATGTTACCCAGTCAATTTATTTATATAAATTACTTTAGATAAGCCTACTCTTAATGTATTGGGAGGCTCCTTTAAGTGGTCTCACATAATATCTGTTGTTGCATTCTACAGTGCACCCCCTTTAACATAAAATATATCATGATATCTACACCTTATACGTGTATCAAAATGTCTACTGTTTTCAATGACAAGTAGATTGCACCTTCTCAAATGCAGATACAAAATTAAGTAAAAGGGGAAAGAGAATAAATATTGCAAAGAACATTAAAAAAAAAAAAAGCACCATGATTGTAATTAGTGTACAATAAGAATTTACTGCCCATTTTCCATTTAATTTAATTGTTTATGTAACAGTCCTAACTCTATCGCTTAGCATGAAGGACACAACAGTAGAAGAGGGAGAGAGGCAGTGTATTAGTGACCTTCTTTAAATGCAGAAGATTGGTTAGTATATACACATATTTAGCTTTATAAAATAAGCATGGTCAAAATTACTGAACTTGGAATACATGAAGTGGGATATTCAGATTCTGCAGCTTCGGTGGCTTAAGAAACTTCCAAGAATATGTCCGAGGAAAACCTTGTCATTGGCCCCATTTGGCTTAGAAGAGAGCCAGAACTAAAATGTCATTGCTTTATTCAAGCCAGATGAACTGAGATAAATGGGACAACTAAAAGTGATTATGGTAGGCAGAATTTCAAACTAAGACTGAGGAAATATAATAGAAACTGAAAACTTGGGACCTTGAACCCACCTCAGTGTCTATTTTCTTGAGAGACATGATCCAGTTTTAAACACAAAAACTTAGATTTAAAAGTAGTTTTACAGTATCTACCATTAAGACAACTATTTTCATAACTATTTTTGTATTTTAATAGAAAAAGTTTGTTGCTGACTCAGGTTTTATTCCATGTATTTAAACATAGCCCTGTAATATTTTACAACTAGAAACATTGCAGTCATGCCAACACACAAGGGGGAACTAAAAAATGCAACCATTAAAAAAAAAAACAAACCCGAAACCCATTCATTCAGTAACCGGTAAAGTGAAACACCAAAGCAAAGAGCGAGCATCAATGGTGAAAATAGCTGAAAATATTAAATATTAAATCGGCTTATGTTTTAGTCATCTGAGGTATCATAAGCAACACAGATAAGGTTTTTTTTAAGAATATATGACTTTAATTGACTTTGTTCTTTTAATGATAAATTTACAATGAAAATGACATGTCCACCATAATTTTGAAATACAACATAGCTACCACCGATTTGCTGCAAATGCCTTTGCATTATATTTGTTTGTGGCAGAGGAGTAAATTTGACAAAAATAAATTCTTATACACATCCACCCTTGTGGGATTAATAGCAAGATGAAATATTTCAAATTAAATAAATGAAGATAAAAATCATATAAAATAATATAAACATTCCTCCTGGATCTCCTCAAGCAAGATTTTCCTCAGCACACTGTCTAATACACCAACCTTCATAAAAAAAAGTGAAGAAAAAAGATCTGTTTATTGAGAATGAGGCAAAAGGATGCAATTGACATTGGCCTGAGATTTTACCTCTTGTCGATTGGGGTAATAGCTTTTCCTAACCTCCAGTATCGATGTCAGTCCACCCCCAGAACTCTGAGGCCATTTGTATTGAGAAGAGCACACACGGCTAGTAAGTGCACGGCACCCATGCAACTTCTGGTGCATTTGCTGATCCTCTGAGGCCCCTCTCCCAAAAGCTGTCAAAGATGCTAGTGGCAACTCCTCTGATACTTGCCACGGACAGGTGAAGCGGAGATGGTTTTATTTAATTTGGAAGAGGAAGAGTTTGCTCTGCCACCTCTCCATGCTCCCACAATGTGTACTCAAGCATTAGGGGACAAATACATCAAATAAATATCAGATAAAAGCACCCAAAATACGCTCGGTAATGTAAAGAAAGGATATATTTTAGGGTATGGTCAGAAGATATTCAAAGCCTCCATTGTTGCTTCTAGAAATGTCAGGACAATTCAGAAATGTCAGTTCCTTTACCGGTTTCCAGATTGTAATTGAAGGATCATGTAGCTCTCTCGCTCTTTCTCTCTCTTTCTCTCTCTCTAAATAGGTCTATAAAGATCAGCTGGAAAGTGCAGACAGAATTGTTCACTGGTTAGCTTTACTTAGAGCTACAGGGTATATATGTGCTTTGTTTTGTCTTATTGATCAATCTAGCTTACATTTTTAGCACACACAAACAAAAATCAGGAAAAAGAAAAAGTTGATGAAAAACACAAACAACACAAAACAAATAAGGTTCCAATCGTGCAAATTTTGCTTCACCGGATAAAGCACTTCTTGACACAGTAATGTCCAGAATCCCCCTCCCCCAGAAAAATACAGGACTGAGACTGAAGCCATTCTTTTTTTTGTTTTGTTTTTTTTCTTTTTTTTTCTTTTTTTTTTTTTTTTTCCTTAAGGCTATACAACACAAAGAAATAAAGCATGGAAAGAACACCTCATTGGGCTGAACACTTCATTCTTCTGGCTCTGGAGCGAGCCTTTGACAAAGCAATTGTGTGGTCCGAGTTATTTGTCTCATTGGGACAACAACAAGAGAAAGAAAAAGAGGAAAAAATGAAAGAGAGGAAAAAAATAAAAAAGAATAAGAAAGTCAATGATCCCAACAATAAAATCCGAAATTGACTTTACAATCACAGGTACAAATTGCTCAGGTCGATAATTTCATTTCTCCTAAAGATCACTGTCGTCTAAAACTAATTAGAGGCGCAGGTTCCCGAGGAATTGTCAATATTCGAAGCAAATGTTGGAGTTTAGAAGGTTATCATTCTTCTACTGTGACAGTCTGACGGGGTGACTGGAAATATTGTCATGTGCTGCCAAGTTCAGGGTGTCGTTAACGATTGAATCCGTGCTCTGGCTCATGGATCTGTCTCCTATTTGGCCTTCTTTTATAGTGGAAAGACTAAGAAGCCGGAAAAGGTTGAATATTTCCACCCTCCCATGAGGTTACCCCTTTCCAGTTTGAGATGCACTTTGTCTTCTCTTTCCATGTGGAGCAAGACCCCATTGCTGGCTGCTTCTCTGGTGACGTCCTGATCCCCTGCAAAAGCTGAAATCACTGGATAGCCGTTTTGCATTAAACTTACCTAAAAAGTGCAAAGAGAGAGAATCTGAGTTTTCTCAATACCTTCAATGACTTTTTTGCCCTGTACAGGTTAGAAACAAGGTTGAATTAAGCTAAGGCAATGCGTGATTTCTGTCATGCATACAGACCCCTTTAACTAAAATAACCTACAGTCTTATTCTTCACTTGCTGGTTTTGTAAATGCACCTCAGTGTCTAGAAATGAGCATTTGAAAAAAAAAGGAAAGACAGCATCTTCTTTAGATCACAACCCACCTGGATGGTTTGTCTGTTATAGACCTTGACCACGTGGAAACTGAAACTATATATCCCTTTTCTTGGTGCTACAAATATACTGGAAGCAAGATCAAAATGGTTGCCAATATTAACTAATACCTGGAAAGTAAACAAACAAACAAAACAAAACAAAACAAAAAGGAGAGAGAGAAAGAGAGAAATCAGGCCCCACCTTAGAAAAGCGCCAGTGAAAATCTGACATGACCAATATAAAGCCTAGTCGAAATGGCATTTGCAGCACAATTAAAAGTGCACTGCAGGGGGAAGAAGCCAAGTTACAGAGGCATTTAAAAAGCATCACAGTTCATAAAACGATTTAGTTATGCAAAAATGATCTCTAAAGCCTGTTAGATGAAGTGCAAATGTCCACACTGCACTGTCAATAAAGCAAAGAGGGAGGAGGGGAGGTGGAGGGAAGGAAAGGAGGGAGGGGAAAGAAGTGAGGACCCCCCCCCCCCAACCCATCAACACATAATGCAAATGTATGTGTCTTAGGTAGCACTACTGAAATCGCACCTGTCCTCGAGTTTAATAGGGCATAGAACTAAAATCGTACTGCAGAGAGGGGCGAAGGAGGAGAGGATGCTCAGCAACAGCAACATCTGCCACCTCACGCCTCTCTGTCCCCCTGGAGGGCTGTGCCGCCTGACCAGCACCCTCCTCAGGCTGGGGATCTTAATTTGTCATATAATTCAATGTCTTTGGAAACAACGGAAAAAGAGAAAGAGTTGAGCCCTCCGGCAGATGTGCAAAGCCTCACTCGGGAGCGGCCCCCGGAGAGGCTGGCGGTGCGGAGCCCGCCGATTTGACGGGGATCCGGCCCCGGCTCATCAGCTCCTTTCCAGGCTCCAGCGACGGGCAACCTGATTTGGCTTAAGAGGCACAGGTAACGAGGGGAGAAAAACCCGCGGGTCCGCGGCGATCCCGGGCGTCCCGTGCGGCGAGCGGGCGAGCCCGAGCCGGCTGCTCCCCCGTGCCCGCCCCCGGGGCGCCCCGGCCACGCTCAGCTTTGCGGGCTACAACCCCTGTTTCAATGAAGAAAAATACAAAGCAGGAGGAAACAAAAACAAACCCAAAACACCCAAAATCCCGAGCCTTTCCTCCCAAATAGCCAAACCTTGTTGTTCCCAAGAAAGGAAAAAAAATGAATCCGTTATTGCGGGAGCACCGAGGGAGGAATGCCTTCAAACTCCTGAGAACTGAGCTTTGCCGGGTAAGGCGTCTAAAATACGCTAAAAATGAAGCAAGCTCTGTTTTTTTTCCCCTCTACTGATCTGACTTTATGAGATCTTGTACGCGAGGAATAGCAGTGCAAACTCATTATGAGGGACAGGTAGACAGATGAATGACAGGCGGACAGACAGATGGGGGGGAAAAGCAAACAGAAAACAGTTTGTGTGTGCTAATTTCGGCTGACTCTGCAATACTACTTCAGGAGTCAGAGGCGGTAGAAAAAAAGTAAATTTCATGGCAACAATCAAGCGGAAGGATGGGGCATGGGCTCCGGGAGGCAAGCAGGGCGGCGGGGAAGGGGCAGGACGACCAGATCGGGCTGTCCTCTGCTCTGCCCGGCGTATGCCGTGCAGAATAACACCGCTCCGTTACAACCCACCGGCGACATCGTTCGCCTCGTTCGATAACGCGGGAAACACCCTCTTCTTCCTCAGCCCTCCCTTCCCCTGAGAGGTGCTGTAACATTGCCAAATGCCCTCGGAACAGGTAGATCCGGCGACTCCCCATCGGTAAATCTCTGTCCTCCTCTTGCCCTGAAAATCAGCATTACCGACGGAGCACCGAAGGGGGGGGTGCGCACCCTTCCCCCCGGGTCGCCCCTGACTGCCCGGGGCAATCCTCGGCTGTAAGGCGCCCCCGCAAGCGTCCGAGGCACAAACTCACAGGTTAAAGCACTCTCCGTACGAGCGATGGGACCGGACAAGAAGTCAGCGTGCCTCTTTTCCCACCCCAGGAAAGCCCCGCAGCCACCTAAAAGGACTTTCTAAACTCTTGCTGGGGAGTTGAACTGTAAAATT